AAAAAAAAAAAAAAAAAAAAAAAAAAAAAAAATCGAACAGCAGCCCGTTAAATTCTGAGATGTTTTGTGCTAAAATCTCTCTTACCATGAAAGAGATGGTAACAAATGGGTACCTCTGTGTGCAGACTCTTAATTTTTATTTTTTTCCTCATTGTGACTTGGTGGTCTTATCTGCCGTGGGTATTTATCTTGTGAATTTCCATTTGCCACCCACAATTGGCATAGAGGCAATTGAAAAACAAATCTTTAACTCGTGTTAAATAATCCCAGCCACATTGGGAATGTGTCAAACAGAAGTTGCACTAATACAGTTATCAATGACAAACCGATTCCCTGAGCTTAGAAATGTTTCATACTCAATTCTTCTGCCATAAAACTCATTTTCTCATAGTTCCTGATATTTTTAAAAGTCGTTCCAGTAAAGGAAGACTACATTTATTCTTAAAGAAGACATTCTGGACAATGCTTTTCCTCCTAAAGTTCATGCTCTGTGTATACTCATTCTTTGATCCACTAAATTATCTCTAATAAATTTCTTTCTGATTTATGGATAAACATAAAGTGCAAAAGCCTTTAAAGATATTTTTTGAAGACTACCAATAAAATAGTCGTTTATTACCAACCTAGGTCATATTCTGATATTGATTTTGGCACAAACATTTTATATTAGTGATTCCAGCTGAAATTTTTATAATGGATCCAAACAAGACAGAACTCTCTGTATTTATTTACTAGTTTAGAATGGGAATTTTCTTTTTTCATCTTTTCAAAGAACAGTAAAACAAGTCTAGAGAAGATAGGAATCATAAATCATTCAAATATTCAGGATTCACATTCAGTGTGTCGTGTCACAGCACCTCTGCGCCATGTGCATGAATCTCACTAGACATATGCATTTATAAATATTTGTGTGTAAACTATGCAAGGAATAATGCTTTTCACGAATAATATGTAATTTATGCATGCTGTCATTCCAAATATACTAATGTGTTAGCAAAACTGTCCATTTTTACTAATCAAAAAAAATTCAGAATCCTTTTTTACTCATATGAATGACAGGCCGCAGTTTGTGAACTCAAAGCTTGACACAGGTCTGTAACAGAAAAAAATAGTTTAGTTTGCATTTGAAAAACTGCTAATATGTGGCCTGATTGGGCCCTGCAGATGTGGTATCCACAGGCCTTTATCTCTAAGCAGCATATTAAAAAATTCATTATAAGAAAGGTTCTTACTAAATAATCCTTTCTATTTTCTTCTCTGAGGGCTGTCAAAGCATCACTTATAAAAGGATGCTCATGGTAACTGTAGAGTGACATCATAAGCAAGCAGAGAGAAGATGAGCACACGTGAGCAAGAGCGAGTATTAAAGTGGGAATTGGGGAGAGAATCAAGACAGCAGGATATTTATGTGGACCAAGTCAATTTATAACGCAATCAAAAAAAAGGCATAAAAATGGCATGTCAGTGTACAGTGAAGTGTCCCTCTAAATGACTTCCTTTGGATGGGCCTCATAATTCTTTACAGTGTAATATACGAAACAGGAAAACTTTGTCTTAAAGAATCAGGTAAAATAGCCTTAGTGTGCTTGGTTAAAAACTTGTTTAGGTGGCAGAATTTTTAGCAAAGCTTCCTCCTCCTTCTCTTCTCCTGTTCTACTTTGTAGGGGTCTGCCCGTCTTTTTGGGGATGCAAAGCAATTATTGTGGTACCTACGAAGACCAACAGAACGCAGGTTGTAGGTTGTTGTTATGAAGGTGCCTTCATATATATTGGTGTTTGTTTATAATAAAAACGATAATGTTTTTCACTTGCTGAAGTGTGTTAGGGGTTTTACAGGTATTTTCCCTAACCTTAAACCCTAGGCTAACTCTTACACGTGATCCCACTCGACGGGCCTGTGCCCACTTCCCCAGCTCTCCTGCTCCCCCGCTCGCCCATGCACTGGCACAGCTTCCCCTTCCATCCGGTACCCACGTCACGTGGCTGAGTGAGAGTCACGTGAGGTTTTGTATGTGAAGGTAGGCACTCCATCAGCATTCGGTATTTGCTGCTGCTGCTGTTGTGACTTGTCTCAGTTCTGCAAGATAGTGACTCCAACACACCTGCACAACTTGAATTACACGCAACGGTGTCCCTGCTGTGTTGTTGCAACTTTCGCCTGATGCTTACTCAAGCCCTTTCATTTAAGTCGGTTGAAGAATACAACTAAAACATATTTCCTTGAAATACTATCAGCTTCAATGTTGTAATAAAAATACACCAAAAAGTACCCTATTACCTGAATTAACTGAAGATGAGAAACGTAAGTAGGCTTGAATCTTTCTACCGGACTTTGGAAAATACACATTTGGATTTGCAATATTTGTTGTCAGCAGGCAGGGAGAATTATATAAGAATTATGCTAAGTGACAGAGAGGAACTATTCTTGGAATAAGCTTATTCACGGTAAAACCAGAAATTTGTAACAGAAAACTAATTAATGTTGCTACACTTTAGTTCATAAAGAGTTTATTAAAACTTTTATATAAAAAACTTTTTACAAAAAAATCTATAAAAAGATTATAGAAACTTCTCCTTAATGTCTCTTGAAAATCACTTAAACCTATTATTTGAGCCCTTATTTTCCTGGCACACAGCAGGCCCTGGATGACAATTTACTGAACTGAACCACGAGAAGTTTGCAAAGCAGGACCAGCACGCGCCTGAGGAGCAGATCCAGTAACTGGGTTGCTAGCATAGGACTTTCAAAGCGACTGTGCCCACACTTTTTCCCTTAGAATTTTATCTGCATAGCCTATTGGGAGAATATATATTTTGAAGTAAAATCATTATAAAATAAAATGGTTGACTTTGAAAGAGGGCTTTATCATTTAGAAGCCATTTCCACAACATAATTAAGATTACCAGCATGCATGGTTTAATGTGACGACTTTGATTCGCAAACCAAGTGAGACAAACTGAATACTGTTAGCTCTCTGGTGCAAATCTGGGGCCTTGGCCTAAGTGAGCTGGCCAAGGATTACTGTGTTGAACCCCCTCTATTACCAAGGACTCAGGGAACAATACCTGCAGGGTGTACCCCGGCTCGCACTGAAAGGAGAGTACATCATTCACCATGTATCGGTCTCCTGTTTTGACGCCGTTGCTGGGAAGGGCTGGCTCTTGGCATGCAGCAAGACCTACAGCTGTAGAAAAGCAAAGACAAAGACTGAGAAGTTACGTAACACAAACAATATTCTCATTATCTGAATAATAAAACACTTCTTTTCTATGCTCTCCTCCAAGAGAAATGAACAAAGGCTAACTCTTTCTCTTGCTGTTCTACCAAGAAGACTAAATAACTTTAAATCAAGGTTTTGAGCTAATTCTTAAATGTTAACTTACTTGATTTTCATCATGCAATGAATCAAGCTTTTCTTTATTTTTTTATTTTTTATACGAAAACAGTTTATTCCCTTTCTTTCTTCTTTTGAACTTATTTCTTTTTACAGACTATTAAAATGACAAAACTAAGATGAGGTACCGAGTAAATCTTCATATCATTACGACTTGTTTTTTTTTTTTTTTTT